GATCCCTTTATAAAAAGTTTACTTTCTAGTGACCTCTCTTTTATCAATCATTCACATGTTCCAGTGGAGGTCAAGTTTGGAAAATCCTTGTACCAGAGTGTTTTGCTTATTTCTGCCTCAGATGGTGATGGAGATAATCGTTATTCCTACCTTCTCAGAACAAATTATAGATCTTAAGTCTTAAAATTTGAACAAAGTAGATAAAACAACTGTAGCAGGAGATCAAACACTTTTATGATCATGATTACTTTGTGCTTAAGGATGGGGCTGTTTTCATCCTCTAAGGGGAATATCCTACAGAAAAAAAGCATGGTTTGAAGGATCCAGGGATCCCTCTAGCATCAGAGAACTCACTTCATAAAAGGCCTAAATGTTTCTTCCTCTTCCTCATCCTCCTCCCCCTCCTCCCCCTTCTCCCCTCCTCCTGGGCCCCCCTTCTTCTGCTCTTCCTTCCCTTTGTCCTCCTTTGTCTCCGTCTTTCTTGCTACCAAGAATTAACCCTAGGTCCTCATGGATGCTGTTCAACTCTCTACAGGTGTGCCACATCCCCCTGCTAAATTTTCTTCCTTTGCTTATCACCCAGTCAAATGGTACTCTTCTTCTGGAAAGACAGTAGCCTATTATATATCCTATAATAAATATTTCCCTAGCATGACAAAGTTTGTATTCTCTGTCTTCTACCCTGGCTCATAAGAGAGTCTTTTCTTTCTCCAAGAAATCATGATACAGTCGATATCATCATGACTGTTAACTTTCTCTTTTAAAGAGAAGTTGTGCACAGGCATCGTTGGATGTCTTTCACTGTGTTCTCCAGGCCTCGTGGTCTATGCATTCTGCACTCATCAGCCAAGTGGCTTCATTCCTAACCACACATTTTCCACTTAGCTGGCCTGAGCTGTCATGGTCCATTAAGTCAAAGTGAACTTCATCATCGTTAATTAACGTTGTCTTCCCAAAAGGGGCTGGTATTGTCCAAAACTGTCAGACTCTTTTTCTTCACATACATACATACACACACACACACACACACACACACACACACACACAGACAATACAGACACACAGACGCACAGACACACACACAACCAAGAATCAAGTTCTGAAATACATTCATCACATTTCTCCTGCTCTGGCCACATCAAGGACGCTCTGGTATGTTACTCAACCCACATTGCCATTGGGAGACTTGTGCTATTTGGGATTAATGGAATTTTAGAACACTTTCTTACATGAGTTTCATGAAGATATATTTCTGCCAGACAAAACTGGCAGCTATGTGTAATTACTGCCTGAATTTAGCTATAACTTAGAACTTAGTTCAGAAGGTGGTGCAGAAGTCTGGAGTAATCAGCTACTGACTGTCTTTATATTAAGGTTTTTTCCTCACTGTTTTTTTTTTTTTTCTTCCTGTCTTTTTTTTTTTTCCACTGCTGGGCAAAATCTAAGGCCATTTCTCCAGACTTAGGATGTCCTTCAATCCTGACATGATTGTACATCATAATCAAATGTAAACTCAGATACTGACCTTTCAGGGGAGATGTGATATATTGTAGTTGAAAATATGCTTAGATTTAGGTTGTAAGTTTGCTTTTTAAACTTGTAAAAGTGGCTATGCTGTCTCTCCTCTATATGCTAAATGAGAATCAAGTGACTGTAGTCCCCTAAAGTTAGTATATAAGTTAAATGAGAGAATTATGAAAAGTTCCTTATACATTGCCTTGTACATGATAGATACTTCCGAACATGAGCTATTAGCATTAAATTTTATCAACAAAAATCCATTCCTTGGGCATTTGGACTGTAGCCAAATTTCCCGTCTCACATTTCTTCACTCTTTTGAATACAATATATGTCAAATTGACAATTCACACTAATGGAACTTCTATTATTTTAACAACTAAGCCTTAGGGTTCTGTCCCCCAAATTCAAAGCTTCCATATCTCATTATATGGTCGTATGTTAGAGAGCATAGCGCTTTTAGCCAGGTGGCAATGCGTGTACAGACACAATGATTGCTGTTAGTAAGAACTGGGCTTCCTGCTGCATTTTTGACAAAGACCTACCTACTGTGTATGCCCTTGATACACAGACCCATGCACACACTTGTAAACTGCAGCATCTGAAGTCTCCAAAATGACTTAGAGAGCACACGCATACAAGAATAGCAGATAACTGGCATCTGCTATTAGGCAATGCCAACTGAAGAAGGAATGGCATTTCCCTCAGTCACCCCAAATGAGAGCAGGCACCCACTCTGCAGATCCTGTCTCTGCCACACTCATCCCCTCTGTTGTTCATCTCTCCTCCTTATTAATTCATTTATGGATTTTCTTGCTTTTCGTCTATCTCTAAGCTCTCATCATTCAACACAATTCTGTGGGGAAATTCATACTGGAAGAATTTCAGCTTCCTGCTAGCCAGAACAATCAGTTTTAAGGGAACACTTGTGCCAGTCTCTGTGTCCGCCAATATTCTTTCTATCTAGGTGATCAGCAGATCTGGCACTGCCGTTCTGATCACATCAATTTCAATTCAAGTTGCTGTGAACTGTCCGGCTAATAAAACAAAGGCACTTCTCTCCCAGCCCCAGGATGGAGAACACATTTACATAACACAGTCCCACCACTGCTCAAAGTGATGATAATAAGATCCAGCATTTTCCTTGCTAATAGTCAAGAGCGAAGAGACATGAAGGTGAAATACAGGATTAACAAAGAAAGGACTGCTGTGTCCAGAGGTCACCCTACTTCTGCTCCTCAGTTCACGTCTGCTGCCATGTTGAATTCATAATCATTTGTGAACACAGTTGCAAATAACAATATGTTGTAAAGTCATTCCTAACCAGATGGTTGCCTTTCATATCATCAAAGGATCAATTAACATGCTTTCCATTTCTAACAGAAAATAAAATTAATCCAGAGAATGTATTCTGAATTGACTTGAAAAGAGAGGAAAGGATAATCAGGCAGAAAAAAAATCCTGAAGAATTAGCAAAAAAAAAAGGGGGGGGAATGAAAGATAAACTAAGTACAAGAAAATGAACTGGGTCATTAACTTGGCACACTGACTAGACACTCAGAGACTTCCATTGCAAGAGCTGTCTCAAGGCAAGAGAATGCAGGGCATTTCAACAACACATACTTCAGCCTTAAATGTTCATAGGGCATTTACAAATGAGAAACTGGATGTTTTATGCTTCGTTACAATATCAGTATGCAGTGTTAAAACATGTCATTTGTTCCTGCTAATTACAATATCGGAAGAAGGAGAACTACGAAATGATGGCAGTGTTATCAGGCGTTTAAAAATGTGCGTAGGTTTCAAGACTTTCAGAAGAGAATGTTATGCTGATATTTAGGCAAACTGGAAGATGCTATTAACGTGGTATTTGTAATTTGCTAAACACTTTATTTCAGGCATTGTGCCTTTACTTTATAAGAATTAGCTGATTTCATTCTCAGAGTAATCTAGTAGGTGGTACACTTCTGTAAATACTTTAAATAGGGTTAACTGTCATTCAGAAGGTGCGGATTTGTCTCAAAAACACATCTCTACAGGAAGAGTGGCATAATCAGGGTTCAAACCCAGACAGCATGGATAAATATCCTGCACTCCAAACTTTATCTAAAAAATATCTATCTAAAAAAAGACTAAGTCATCAAAATATGTAAATGTTTTCCTGAATAAATATTCAATGGAGGCTGCAATAGCTGCTACTATATCTATCTGAAACATGCGAAGTACTGAAATTGGGGTAAAGAACTTGTGCAAATATTGAAATGTCTGCAGAACACTATCTTAAATATGCACAGACTGTATTCTGCATTAGTCTGCCATAATCCCTTTATAAATATTTGAACTCTGAACTGGACATAGAGTTTATTTTATTTATTTTGGGAGCATACCATTTATGAACATGCTATTGTGCACACAAAAATAAGTTTAGATACTAAGAGAAGGCTGCCATGATCTCCTGAAGGAAGGGGAAATGCAGCACATTAAGTGGAATTTCTAAACTGAAATTGTTTTCTTTCATGCTAGTTCTCCACATGCTTCTTGTTATACAAACAACTTGTATACCCAACCTTAACCATATAAGAATGTCCCTATAGCTGTGTATATTTAGATCAATTCTATACTTTTTCCACATAGAATATCCATATATGATTGCATTTCTCTAACCCTGAATATGTTTTTAGATGACGATTTTAACACTTTATAAATCCTTCACAATGTACGATAATACTGACCAATGGCTAAAATTCATCCCCAAAGAGCAGTTTGTAGTTTGCTCTTTTGCTCTTGATCCATTCTGTCTTCAAAGATAATTAAAACTTTAGTTGTGTTTATCAGGAAAGCTGACTGATCCAACTTAGATGGTTTTATTTTGAATATTGGTTATTTAGAAAAGGAAGGAACCACAATTCCCCCAAGAGAAGTTGGGTGAGGTCTGTCTTGTTGTGTTTTTCTGATAATTTATTCTTCTAGATTTTGGTGAAAAAGATCTTATGAATTTCATGTCATACACTGGTCCATGGAGAGGTGGGTCATTAGCAAGGTGACGTTATCAAGTTAGAAAGTTCTTGGGCCAGTAAGAATGTGCTTTCATGGGAAAACACAGATGCCCATCTACTTCACTTTTCTTCAGAGACAGATAAGGGAGTGCTGCCCACTGATCCATTATGCATCACCCTGTCTACCATTCAGAACTAATTTGAACTATCATCGATAGATCTACCTTATGACAACTTTTTAATTATTTGATTGCCTGCAGAAACATTCTGAAATTTCTCTAAGGTTTTCATAGCCTACAGAATTAGTTTTTTTAAAAAACAATCTCTCCTGGAGAGTTCTATGGGTTGCGAATTACCAATAAAATGTTTTGAAATCTGTCCTCTCATGTGGAATGAGACTGCCTAAGGAGCCCGTATTAGAATGATCAAATGTCAATCAGCCTGGGTGCTGCTGTACTTCAGAACTGTGTATGCTTGGTGACATACCTCATAGAGGTCGATCATGACGTTGCCTTCAGGGCCTCTGCTGCTCTGGACGTTCTCCAAGGCCAGGGTGAAGTAGACACCACGGGTGTCTGAGATGTAGAGGTTGTATGTGTCATTTTGGTTCCATTCTTGGACTGCTGCAAACACTTGGTTCTCATCGGTGCTAATGACATGCATGTCCTGAAGAAAAACACAAGGAAGTCGCATGGGAAGAAGAGTTAGTGCACTAACCTGGCTTACATCAAAGAGCATACAAGATGAAGAGGAAGCTCTTTGATGGCAGGGAGAGAGCATCTTTCTACATATATGAAAACTATAATTATTTAAGTGTTAATCATGCATTTTCTTTGTCATTTGGTGGCTAGGCAGTGAGGTTATGACAAAATAAGATAGAGGATGTTTAGTGGCTTAGTTATAACTTAATTGCCTTATGGGACATTTTGAAGATAATGTTCTTAAATATGTGTGATTTTAGAGAACCAATCATTATGATATATTTGTCAAGTTCCAGCACAGTACTTTCTCAGAAGACTTATACAGAGAGATAATAGCACAATTGGCAAAGACAGAAACAGCAAGCCTAGATGTCTCCCTGTGGTCTGTGTACGAGCAGCAAGAGTGCTGCCTGCAGGCTCATTAGACACATAGAACCGCAGGTCCTATTCGCTGAACAAAAATATGCTTATAAATAAGGCCCTCACATGAACAGTATGCACGTTCAAGTTTGACAGACACTGCCAAGGGTTCACTAACCCTTTGAAGGTCCCAGGAAAAAAAAATCCACCAGAAAATCCCAAATCATTACTGCTCATCTAAGTGATTATTACAGGATTCAGATACTAATCCAATCCTTTCCCCTGACTACTTCTCTAAAAAAATCTTAAAAGGGGGAAAGTGTCATCATAAAGGATGAGTCCCTCACACTCCAATGTTCCTAGAAGATAGAAACAAAGTACAATAACATGAGTGCATTCTTCCTCAGGTAGAGAGCCAAACTCCTTTTTTTCCCTATTCTGAACTCTAGATAGGTATGTCTAACACAATCCTAAACTGGATGTCTCCAACCTCGGCTTGCTGTCTCCTAAAGCAGATGCTGTCCATGTGTTCGGGGTTGCTCCTTATCCTGTGGCCAAAGAAGTTTATATAGAATACATTCTAAACAACCCGAAGTAGAGCAAAGGAGAAAGGAGAGTGTAGTAGAAACAGAGTTGCCCATAATTATAGAGGCAAAATAAAAACAGTGTTCTCAACTTTTGTGTGTCTTAACACTCTGATCCTCACCACTGACCATGTTCGATACTTCAAAAACTTCAAGAGATGTGACATTCTTCCTTAGCAACCATCCCAACCTAAACTTCTCATTGTAACTTGAGTTACAGTTCTAAAACTAAATTCTTTATTACTCGATTTCAAATCTTGGCTTGTAACATATTCATCTGAATGGAGCTTGGTGCTCTTACCTATGAACTTTAGATAACAAAAGCACGTCCCTCATAGAGTAGTGAAGATAGAATCAGCAAGTCTAAAAACCATAAAAGCATCCACCATTAAGTGCGTGTTCTGTATATGGTACGTGTTTCAGTTGAGGGAGTCCTTGTGTCTCTTTTGTTGATTAAGCAAGACTGAGTTGTCTTTCCTGATTTTTAAAATGTTTGAGTCTTCAGTAACTAGTATGCTCAACTAATGGTTCATCCAAATGTTTTCTTTCTAATGGAGAGAATCAGCTATGGAAATTATCCCTGAGTTCACTGGTTCATTTACAGAGGAACAAACCTATGCTCCTTATTTACCATATAGTAGAACCCAAAATCTTTAAATTTGGTGGACAACTACCTCCAGTTTCATGTTTCCTTTGCCTGGTGGTATGCAGTCATAACTCTGCATTCATGTTAAATTTTTCCAAAAGTAAGCTGACCCTGGCATAGCTCATTCCTACTTCTGTGCTTCTGGAGTGAATTTCTGCAATGGTGAACTTCTGACGTCCTCACAATAACTATTTGAGGGCATAATCCTAGGCTGGGGACTAAAGTTGATCATCTGTAGCATCATACTTTATATGTCCTTCAGTCTGTAGACCTGATACTTGTGATGGTTAACAGGAATTGTCAACCTAATAAGGTCTGGAAACTCCTTAGAGACAGCTTCTGAGAATGCCTGTGAGGGATTGTCTAGATTAGGTTAACAGAGATGAAAAGACCCACCCTGAATGTGAGGCGCTCAGCAACATTCTAAGGTCTCTGTCCTGGACTGAATTAAAAGCTAGTTGACCACAGGCATTCCCCTCTCTCTGCTTCCTGATTGCAGATGGCAATGTGAGTGGCTGCCCTTGTGTTAGACTATACCTCAGAACCATGAAATAACTAAAAACAAACCTTTCTCACTTAAGTTGCTTTTGTCGGGGTATTTTTTTTTATGCTTTGAAGAATTTTTTTTTAATACACCCACTTCCCAGGTAGCATCCTCCCATAGCCTCCCTCCCCCAACTAGAGCCCTTATACTCTGATATCCCTGCTACTGTCTGCTGTGTTGTTGGCAC